CCATAAGAAGGGATACACGTATATGTATGGCTGATTTGCTCTGCTGTGCGCCTGAAACCATCACAACATTGTTAAAAAAAATGAAAAAGTCAAAAGAATTAAAGGATGGTTTTGAATGATTATATAAGCATATTTAATTTTAAAAAATTAATTTTATCATATTTTATCTATTAATAAATGTGAAGGGAATGGGGAGACTCACTCACCCTCTCCTCAGTATTCCAATATAATAATAATTTTACTCCCCACATCCAGTTAACAGGAACTAAGTTCATTCCTCTTCTTATGTTATCTTAGGATAATCATGCATGCATGCATGCATGCATGCTCAGTCACTTCAGTTGTGTCCAACTTTTTGTGACCCTGTGGACTGTAGTCCAGCAGGCTCCTCTGTCCACGGGATTTTCCGGGCAAGGATACTGGAGTGAGTTGCCATGCCCTCCTCCAGGGGATCTTCCCAAGCCAGGGATTGAACTTGCATCTCCTGCATTGCAGGTGAATTCTTCAACGCTGAGCCACTGGGGAAGCTTTAGGTTAATATAGGTTCTGTTAAATTATTTTATCCTAAGGTCTGGAGTGGGGATGGAGAATTTTCATTTCTAAGAAGTTTCCAGTGATGTACAGCACCACACGTTGAGAAGGGGATTCTGGGACATCATGAAGCCCACATGAGACAAATACAGAAAGGTGAAGGTCATTATCCAGTGCCAAATCCAGACTAATTTATGTAATAAACTATTCAAACACTGAACTTTAAATACTGAAACACTGAAAATCCATTCACTTAACTACATTTATGCAAAGATGTCATCTTTTGAGTGATAAATTGCAATAAATTAGCAGTAACAGCTTAGATTCTACATCCTTTGTCCGTATAATCCGATCATTAGATTCTAATCACTATCACCTGTTTTGTGTGTGTGTTACTTTCTGTGGTTCAACAAAGTGAATCAGTTATTTGTCTATTTTTTTCTGAACTCTCCCCCACCATAAGCTCTTCCCCTACCCCCAGTAACTACATCACAAGGTTTATTATGCCAATGTGTTTGTGTTCGCTTCTTTTTATTTTTGATGTTTTAAACTTTATTTTGTATTGCCGATCAACAATGTTGTGATAGTTCAAGGTGCACAGCAAAGGGACTAAGCCATACATATACATGTATCCATTCTCCCCCAAACTCCCTCCCATCCAGGCTCCTGCATAACACTGAGCAGGGTTCCCTGTGCTATACATGCAGTAACTCTTTCTTCTCATCACTATGATCTGTTTAGTGTGTGAATGTTTCTTTCTGCTGCAAAGCAAAATGAATCAGTTTTTCTTTTAATTTATTGGAGTGTAGTTGGTATACAATTTTGTGTTACTTTCTGCGGTACAGCAAACCATATCAGTTATACATGTACACATATCCACTCTTTTTTAGGTTCTTCTCCTATATAGGTCATCATTGTAACCTGACAATCTGTTTTAAATGCAAATCTAATCACATACTTTAACTGGGCAGGCCTTCATTTTTGTCTTCAGCAGATATTTATCCTGTTGCCCTGTCCTAATGATTAACACTACCCTCTTTATTCCCCAGTGTGTTCCAGCTTGGAGAGAAAATTCTTTGGTCACCCTATTTGCAAAGAATCTTTGTGCAAAGCGATGGTATAAAACCTGTGATCCAGAAATAAACACATTCACTGCCCCATTTGACTTAATCTTCGTGAGAGGAAAGAGATAATAAGTAGAGCAAAGAATTTATAACTTGTCATATAGAAGTAGAGAGAAAGTGTATGTATTAGAGTTAGTTTCAGCATGTGCATCTCTTCATTTTTAAATGTTTTAGTGTGTGTTCGTGTACTTGGGCTGCCTGGGGGAGGGGCTGTCTGTGAGAGACTCTTAGGCATTGAAAAGTTCCTCCAGATGCACTTTCTTTGAAATTTAATAATGTGTATCAGTCAAGGTTCTCTAGAGAAATGGAACCAATAGGACATAAAGTCTACAGAAGAGGGGAGGTATTTAGGAATTCACCCACACGGTTATAACAGTAAGAAATCCCATAATCTGCTATTTGCAACGTGGAGAAGCAGAAAAGTCAGGGGTGGGACTTCCCTGGTGGTCCAGTGGTTAAGAATCTGCCTCAAAATGCAGGGGATGTGGATTGAACCCCTAGTCGGGGAACTAAGATCCCACATCTTGTGAAGCAAATGAGCCCCTGAACCAGAACTAGAGAGTCTGTGCCACAACGAAAGATCCCGCATCCCGCAACTAAGACTAAGACCTGACACAGCCCATTAAATAAATAAGTAAATATCTTTTAAAAGTCAATGGTAAATTTCAATCCAAGTCCAAAGGCCTGAGAACCAGGAGCTCTGAGTCCAAGGAAGGAAAAGATGGACATTCCCACTCAGGAAGAGAGAGTGGATTCACCTTCCTTCACCTGTTTTTCCATGCGGCCCTCAGCAGATTGAATAACACCCACCTACCCTGAGGAGAGTGGGTCACTTCACTTGGTCTATGGAATCAAATGCTGATCTGTTCCAGAAACATCCTCAAGAACACACCCAGAAATAATAATGAGCCAGCTATCTGGGCTGATCAGCCTTTGGATAGGCGTCCATCCTGCCCCCATCCTGTGAACCGGGGTGCTGGCATCCAAAATAAAGCAAACTTTCCCTTCTTCCAACTGCGCCTCTTTATTGACTTTTGAGCAGTGAGCAGTTACAATTTGATGTACAAAATAAGCTACAAGAATACACTGTACCAACAGGGACTATGACCAATACTTCATATAGAGTATAACTTTAAAAATTGTGAATCACTCTACTGTATTATCTGCAAGTTATACAATATTATTCATCGACTATACTTCAAAAGGGCTTCCCCGGTGGCTCAGATGGTAAAGAATCCGGCAGCAATGCAGGAGACTTGGGTTTGATCCCTGGGTTGGGAAGATCCCCTGGAGGAGGAAATAGCAGCCCACTCCAGTGTTCTTGCCTGGAGAATTCCCCATGAATAGAAGAGCCTGGCAGGCTACAGTCCATGGGGTCACAAAGAGTCAGACACGACTGAGCGACTAAGAACAAGCATATACTTCAATAAAAAAAATCTAAAAAAGAAAGAACCCAAATACTCAAAATGAACCCATAGAAAAAGAAATCACATCTGGTTTACAGAAGCAGAGAATGCATGGAAGGAGAAATAGGAGAAAGGTTGTTGAAAGGTACAAATTCCCAGCTTAAAAAAAGATGCAAAAGGGGTAATGAGTAACATGATGACTGCAGTTAATGTTGCTGTTCACTATGGTGCTGAAGAAATGTGTTCAGAGAATAAATCCTAAGACTCTCATCACACCAAAAAAAGACTTTAAAAAAACAAAACATTTTGAGATGATGAATGTTAAATAAAGGGCTTCCCTGGTGGTTCAGATGGTAAAGAATCTGCCTGCAATGTGGGAGGCCCGGGTTTGATCCCTGGGTTGGGAAGATCCCCTGGAGGAGAGCATGGCTACCCTCTCCAGTATTATGTTAACTAAAATCACTGTGGTAATCATTTCATGATATAGATGTCACATACACTTCAAACATATACAGTAGCAGCAATTTTAAACTTTAAAAATTACCTGGAATAATGGAATTGTATAACTCTTCCATCGAAAGAAAACTGTATATAGTACTGTATGTCAATGATATGAAATTAGAAAAAAACTGTTAAAAAAGATAAAAATTAAAAGTGCAAAAGAGTATAGGTGAAAGAGGACAAAGCATAAGTGCTTTTTTTCCTTTAGAATTATTTTATTAAATCATAAATGTACAACTGCTTCATATGATAATTCTACATGCTAAAACTTAAGGAATAATGTTATTAATATGTTTCATTACAGCATACTTCTAAAAGCTTTTCAAAAACAGAAAAATCTTGCAAAAGACTTTTTAAAATGTAACATTTTACAAAGAAACATTAACAATTTACAAACATTTAACAAAATGTTTAATGTTAAACAAAATTTAACATTATCAAAGATTTGTGATGCTTCTACACTCTGACAAAGATCACTAGAAAAAAACAATTAAGCTAAGAAACTGCCTCAAAGGCATTTTCCATAGTTTTTCCTCTACAGGAAGGCAATGTTCTTAAATAATTCAATTCATTCACAAATGGCTCTCTGCACCTGCTCTCTGTTTTCTGCCACATCCCTGCATGTTTACTCATAACCTGAAGATGCCCAGTTACGTCTGGGCTCTCATCCTCTGCTATTTAGATAGTGAAGCCCAGGGCAAAGGAAGCAGCTCAGTTTCAGCTTCGCCCTCCCAACCCCCACATCCCCCACTGCCTCCTGGAGTAGAGTTTCCTTCACCATATTGAGCCCTCAAGTTCCTGCTACCAAAGTTTCCATTCCTCATCGACTGTAATTAGATTGCTGCTGATAATTTCCAAGGTCATTGTTAATTCCACTTCTACAATTTCCTCCTCCATAGTTGCCATGACCAACTCTGCAGCCCCAATCATGGTTGCTAGATGTGGGGCTTTCAGCACATCTGCCAGACAGACCCTCTGTCTCTCCCTTCTCCAGCCCTGTGATAAGCACCCCTAAATCTGGGACCATTTCCATATGCATCAGGTCCTCCCCAGAAGTTACTTTCTCATCCTGATGCTAGTCCCAAATCGCTACCACCACCAGGATAAACCCCCAAACCAAAGGGGCCTCCTCCTCCACTTCTAGAACCTTAGACTTGCTGCAGTTCCCATGTTAACAAAGCCTTTGCGACTTCTACATGATGACCACTGATGGTATGGTTTTTTGGCAACACAGTCTTGCTCACAGAATCAAGGTCATCAAAAGTCACAAATCCAGAGCCTCTTTTCTTCCCAGACTGCCTATCAGTAATGATCTCAATGGTACCATTTTTCCATATTTCTCAAAGTAATCTCTAAGATGATGTTCCTCAGTATCTTGTTGAATACCAACAAACAGCTTCTTCAGTGTCCAAAGGACACATGCCCCAGGAGAATACCTCTAGGAACACTTCCACCGTGACCGGGGAATGCTGCCATGGCCTCTCAGCTCCTGCCGCCCTTGAATCAATCCTGAGTACTTTTCCATCTTCCTGCAAAATATTATTTGAACAGAGTGAGTTTTCCAGACCCAGGCATCAAATATTGCATTTTCTCTTTTAGTCTCCCAACTGTGAACTGTATATGTATTATCATCTCTTCATTTTATGTTAATTCTCTCACTGAGTTGGATACCCAATGAAGGGAAGAGTAATGTGGACTCTAGTGATTTACCCTGGCATATATACTTACTCATTTTGCCCTTAGAAGGGGCTCAAGATGAAAGAGTACTAGAGTGGGTTGCCATTGCCTTCTCCAATCCATTTAAGACTTTAATCATAGAAATCCACTTAAAATGTAAACCTAATCAGTGCACACATTCTTTTAAAATCCATCATTTCTGTTTCAGAGGGTGTTTTTAGAGGGAGAAAATAAAAATATCTTAATCCTGTTGCCCTGCCATAATTACTAACACCACCCCTTTCAACACCCAATATTCCTCAGTTTGGAATGAAAATCACTTGATCCTCATGTTTACAGAGCACCTATTACATGCCAAGTTCTGGACTAAGATCCATAATTCAGAATTTCACTGAACAAAGTCATCACCCCAATTTATTTGAATCCTGATAAAAGTTTTTTTTTTTTTAAACTCTAATCCTTGGTTCATCCAAAGCAATTACTTTATACAACAAAGAACAACCACAACATTATCTAAAAAGCTACAAAGTTACAAAACCCAAAACAGAAAATGCATAGTCCTGACTGTACAATAAAAAGCCAAAAAAGCAATGTACACATCTGAGGAAAACTGCAGGGCAATGACTAGCACACAACTGCCCTGGCTCGGGGTGGTTCCCTCATGACCCAGCAGGGCTGGCTTGAAACTTACCAATTTCAGAGAAAGGGAGGGGTGGGGGGGGCACATAACACGGGGTACTTGACCCTAGAGGTCAGAAGAGGACCCAAGCAGGGGTGCAGGGCCAGGCTAACAGGGATGACATCACTGCTGGACTCTGCCGGCCAACAGGTTAGGGCAGGACCAGGCCACCGGATCGGCCCAGGTCGTCTGGGACATGGCAAAACGTGCTCCCAGGCCGGGGCTGTCTGTCCGTCTGAAGCCCCCTGCTCATCCCTGCTGGCTTTGCCAGCTACAGACTCCCAGGAACTATAGAAACTGGGAAGTTTTCCAGCCAGAACACTGGAGGGCACCTTTACAAGCACAGCCCCAAACCAGCAACACCCCTGCAGCTGGAGCTCTGCTGCTCGGGGACATGTGTCGACTGCTGCCCTCACCTTCGCAAGGAGCTGGAGCTTGGGCCGCTCCAGTGACGGGGGCGGCGGGAGTAGCGGGGTAGCCGGCGCTCGGGGACCTGCCCCAAGGGGAACGCGACCTGCTCCTCCTCAGCCTGCGCCACGTGGAGAGCGGTGGCAGCATTCTCCGGGGAGGGCTCAGTCGCCTGGGGGTGGCTAGGGCCGGGGGGGTCAGCACGGCTGTGGCTGTGATCCGCCGGCCGTCGATTTGCCCTCCGTCCATGTGCTTGAGCGCCTTCACAGCCTCTTCCGGATTCTCGAACTCCACGTAGGCGTGGCCTTGAGACGGATGCGCGCGCATCCTTTCTCTGGGCAGGTCGATCTCTCTAACTCTCCCGAAGGTGGAGAATATCTCCCGGATGTGCTCCCTGGTCACCTTCCGGGTGAGCCTCGCGACGTGCACTTTGGTGGGCTTAGGGGCGGGGCTGCGCCTTCTGCTTCCCTTCTCGTCTCGTCCAGGTGGTTTGGGTTTGGAACCGGACCGCCGCCTGTGGTCTCGGGGGCGCCAAGGCCTTGGAGAGCCGGGGGAGCTGCTGGAGCTGGAGCTGCGGGACCCACTGGAGCGTCCTGAGCGGCCGGATGCTGAGGGCGAGCTGGAGCCGCGGCTGGAGCCCGCGCGGGACCGCGCCCCCGAGCTGCTGCCACCGCCCGAGGCCCTGCGCCGCTTCCGAGCTTTATCCCTGCCTCGGTCCTTCTCGCCGGACTGCTGGGTGGCGCCTGTATCTCTACAGCGATCCGCGGACTGCTCCTCAGAGCGCTCTTTGCGTGGGATGGGAGACGGAGTCATCTCGCCTCCGCGCTCCTCAGCCTCAGGAGAGAAAGGGATTAATAGATTAAAAGATGTTTCCTATAGTGTTAGGTACGACAGAGTGCTGTGATCATCAATAAGGCCATCACGGAGGCAGAGAAAGAGGGAGATATGGAGGAAGAGAAGCAAGAAGAAAGAAAAAAATATTAATGACAATTATCGATGATAAAGAGATTGGAGAAGGGCAAACGACGCACATGGATCAGAGAGCTGAATTTTTAAAAACATTCAATTGTTTGCTAAATGTTCCTGGAAATACAAGAGCCAGTGATGTACTAGATTATTTTATCCCAACATCAAAGCAGGTTCCACGTTGTTCTGCTGCTGCTGCTGCTAAGTCGCGTCAGTCGTGTCCGACTCTGTGCGACCCCATAGACGGCAGCCCACCAGGCTCCTCTGTCCCTGGGATTCTCCAGGCAAGAGTACTGGAGTGGGTTGCCATTTCCTTCTCCAATGCATGAAAGTGAGAAGTGAAAGTGAAGTTGCTCAGTCCTGTCCGGCTCTTAGCGACCCCATGGACAGCAGCCTACCAGACTCTTCCTTGCATGGGATTCTCCAGGCAAGAGCACTGGAGTGGGGTGCCAGTGCCTTCTCCCCAGCTTGTTTTAGACAACGTTAAATGTACAGAGGGCTTCCCGGCTTCCCTAAAAATCCGCTTGCAATGCAGTAGATGTTGCTGCGGGCTAAGTCGCTTCAGTTGTGTCCGACTCTTTGCGACCCTATGGACTGTAACCCTCCAGGCTCCTCTGTCCATGGGATTCTCCAGGAGAGAACACTGGAGTGATTTGCTATTCCGCCGCTTCAGGGGATCTTCCAGACCCAGGGATTGAACCGGAGTCTCTTACATCTCCTGCATTGGCAAACTGGTTCTTTCCCCGCTGGGAACAGGTTCTAGCGCCACCTGGGAGGCAGTAGACATTAAAAAAAGCTTCATAGAAACATCAAAATACACAAAGGTACTGGGTTAATTTGGAAGAGAAACAAGGTAAAGTTCGACATAGCCTCAGAGGATATCTCAGGTAGAGAAATCAAAGAGTGAGAAAAAAGAAAAGACACTGTAAAATAACTTAAAGTCACCTTGACCCTGGTGTGAGTGATATGGGCAAGTCACAAACAAAACCCNTGCAGCTCATGGCCACCACAAGGGAAAGTAAACCATGAAGGGCAGACCCTGTGCTGATGTATCTGATAGATGGCCTGGAACATTCTCTCTTCTTCCATCTTACAAATAGGACAGTCTAGTCTTTGTAGCTCAGCTAGTTCAGAAAGCAATCTTATTTCCTTTCATGGGAGCATTGCCTCCTCAGCCCACATTAGAAGCACTATTAATAGGAAGAGAAAGAAATCTGAAACCTAATTTTGGGCAGTATGAACCCATTCTTGCTACGGAGTCATCCAGGCCTCTGCCTATATTAAGGACCCTCCTGTCAAGTCTCAGAAAGCTTCCCCACCCAACCAGGGACAAGCTAGACCAGTTGTTCTCAGAGTACATGCTTAGACTGTGATCAGGTGCACCAGTGGTTCTCAGAGTGTGTCCTTAGAGCAGCAGCAGCACCTGGGGACTTACTAGAAATGGAGAGTCTCAGCCCTCGCTCCCAGATGTGATGAATCAGAAACTCTGGGATTGAGCAGCAATCAGAGAGCTGAGTTTAAAAAGAAAGAAAAATAAAAACCAATAAAAATAAACTTGTGGCTCAAACATTTTTCAGAGAGAACTATTTAAACAAAGCCCAGGAAAATACTACCTCTACTTCATAGTGATTTTGTTTAGAAAAAAAATCTGGCTAATTATCCCAAGAAAACTTCATACGCAAACCTATATAAAACCTTGAATATTTCTTAATACTAACCCCAAAGAAATAACTTTCAGTAAGGCAACATTTTAAGAGCTACTATTTGCTTAATTAAAGGTTGTACAAAGGCAAAAGTATATAGATGGACATCAGTATGGATTCCACACTCACCAGGAGAGACTGGCTTGGAAATCTGGTCAATGCAGTTTCCCCCAGTTCTAAGAGCTGTCCACTGACCACTCCTGAGGTGCAGACAGCCAGTGCCTCAAAGGAAAGTCTGACTTCTGCCTCTGCCTCGCATTTTATAGGGGAAGAAGGTGGACAACCCAATCAGTGGACAACCCAAATAGTGGACAACCCAATCAGTGGATAACCCAATCAGTGGACTCGCCCTCTCAGATCCAAGGTATTGGAGACATTCCTAAATCTGTGCCCACAAAACACAAGAATTTGAGGCTATTGACACGGTCAGATACTATTGTAAATGAAAAAACTCAGAGTTCAGACGAATACTGCTTCTACTTCATAGTGATCTTGTTTGTTTGTTTTTTTTAATCTGGCTAATTATCACAAGAAAGCTTCATACAAAAACCTATACAAAACCTTGAATATTTATTAATACTAACACCAAAGAAATAACTTTCAGTAAGGTAACTTTTCATTTTAAAAGCTACTGTTGGCTAAAATAAAGAGATTTTAGAAAAGGTAAATGTAGATGTGTACTGTTTTGCCATCAGTATCGATTCCATGCTCACCAGATAAGACCAGCTTGGAAATCTGGTCTGTGCAGGATCCCCCAATTTCAAGAGCTGTCCTCTGACCACTCCTGAGATGCAGTCAGCCTGTGGCTCACTGGAAAGTCCACTAACTTCTGTCTCTGATTTTCCTTTAATAGGGGAAGAGAGTGGACAATCCAATCAGGGGATAACCCAATCTCCAGAGAACACACTGTCTTTCAGATCCAAGGCATTGAAGAGATTCCTAAATCTATGCACACAAACACAAGAATTTGAGGTGACTGACACCATCAGATACTATTGTAGATGAAAAAAACTCAACAGGTATGTGCCTGGTTAGGTATCTGCAGTCCCTACCAACATTGTAATGCTTTCTTTCCCTCAACTGGGATACATTCTACAAAAATAAGAGTGGAAGTTTTTTTCTGCACTACTTAGTAGCTTTAGAAGGACCAGGATTCCAGGTCTGCTTTACAATTCACAACCTGCCTTAGCAACAGTGTAGATCTTCCTTTCCCTAAGAGAACACTGTGCCTGGAATTTCTTTACTATACCTTGTAACAAACACCAATCTACCTAATGCACCAGAGTAGATGCAGAGAGTCATTTTGTGAATCCACCAGATTATTTTAGAACATTACCTTACTGTGGGGGCTTCCCAGGTGGTGCAGTAGTAAAGAATCCACCTGTCCATACAGGAGACCCAAAACTTGAGGGTTCCATCCCTAGGTTGGGAAGATCCCCTGGAGAAAGAAATGGCAACCCAATCCAGTATTCTTGCTAGAAAATTCCGTGGACAGAGGAGCCTGGCAGACTATAGTCCATGGAATCTGAAGGAATTAGACATAACTGAGTGTGTGGTGTGCGTGCACGCACACACACACATTGTGAACTTACTGACTGGATATGCAGGAAAAGGGAAAGGACAGAACCAGAGATAAAGCTGTGGTTTCCAGCTCAAGTGGCTGAGCAGATGAAGTGCCTTTTAAAGGAAAGAGGAAGTCAGGAGAGGTGGCAAGTACAATCTTAAGCAATGGGGGTAGGGATGGGAGTTAGGGCCCAACCCCTCCACAGAGTTGAGAATTTGGAGCTAACTCCACAGTCGGCATCCATGGTTCCACAACTGCACGTTCAAACAACGGTCACTGAGTCCAAACTTGATCTGATGGCCATGAAACAGGCCAGTTAATGGAGAAACTAGGTGCTGCGGCAAGGAGCACAACTTTATTTGGAAAACTGGTGACCGAGAAGACGGAGGACTAATGTCTCAAAAGAGCCAGCTTACCTGGGTCTGAATGCCAAGTTCTTTTATAGAACAGAGATAGGGGAGGTGAGGAAGCAAAGTAAAATGGCCTTTAATCCTGCAAATATCTTCTGGTATAGTCTCAGGGAGGAGATGTGTTAACTTCTTCCTCCCCGCCATCCACAGGTGGACAGGGTCCTGAACTAAGGTACTTTGGATTAATACTCAGGTAGAGGGCTGGAGGCAGGATAAACAGTATCTTTTTAGTGAACAAAAAGGATACAGTTATTGAATCTTTGCTTCCCATTGGTTTTATATAAATAGTGTCCTTTTAGTAAACAAAAGCAACCAGAAGCAAAGTTAAGGGTTAAAGGAAAAGAAATAGATCCAACATGGAGTCAGTTCTTCCCTGTAACACAACCACAGGTTGTGTAGTACTGTCGTATGCATTTATTTAAAAAAAAAAAATAGGCTTATAAGAGGACCCATACAGTTCAAACTTGCACTGTTCAAGGGTCAACTGTAGAGACTATGAAAGATGATCAGTTCTATTTTGGGTAGAGTGTTGGTGAAAGTTGCAGAAAACTGGTAGTAGGTATCTTGACTATAGCACAGACTATGAAACTAGAGCCAAACGGAAATGTAGGTTTAAGATGCGATGCCACCAAAATAAAAGAGAGAAGAGAAAGAAGGAGAGTGGTACACCTTTATGTTTAAGAGAAGAGAAAGGACTCATGGGGTAAAGGAGTTTCACAAGGGAGTGAATTAAGAGTAGCAGATATTATTGAAATGGAAGATGAGGACTGAGAAAACAGCCTTTCCTCTGTCCTTGGAATTTTCCAGGCAAGAATACTGGATCAGTTTGCCATTTCGTCCCCCAGGGGATCTTCCCAACCCAGGGACTGAACCCCTGTCACTTGTGTCTCCTGCATTGGCAAAAGGATTCTTTAGCACTGTGCCCTCTGGGAAAGCCCCTTTTGAGTTTATACAATGTCCAGAAGAACAGCACCCCAGCCCTGCAAGGTATTTCCCCCCAGAGGACAGCGACTCTCAGGTCTCCAAAGCCCACTGCACTGTTGTTTCAGGCCAGCTGCTTCCGGGTGGCCAGGGGAAGGAAGGACAGTGAATTCCAAAAGTGCTCATTGCCACATTTCATTTCCTGTGCAGTGAGTTCCTGCATCAGAAGCAGTGTGTGGGGGACACCAG